CCGACGAGGTGATCACTCGCTTCTGCGAGGAAAACCACTGGGACGAAGCCGGTGAAAACGACCTCCGATTCGCCGCCTCTCTGCTCGACGCCGACAACAAGTCGAACACGTTCATCAAGTTTCAGAAAGCCGGCGAAAGCGAATTTTTTGTACATTTCATCGCCATGAAGAGAATCGGTAAGCTTTTGAAGCCATATGTACAAGTTCGTTTTTGAGTATTTTTCTAAACAGTCATCTCGAAGCGATTTGTTGCAAAACAAGTCCTACTCGAGGTTGCCTCGATGGCCAATCATAAGTGGATTTTCAGAACTTCTAAGCACAACAATGTAAACTTTTCTGCAGCGTCGTCGAAAAGTCAGAAATTCTCTAGCTACGTTTTGTATTATTTTTATGATGGTCGTTTATTAATGAAAACTACCAATGTTTTGATGTAATCTTCTCGCTAACGTGACAAATCTGTTTCCTCCATTCGTACACGTTTTTCACTGATACCGTTTAAGATGTCGTTCTGTGCACTGTGCTAAGCCCTATATTTCACTAATATCAACGTGTATCATTTATCATGAATCATGTATTCAAACTATAAAACGATTTATTTTAAATCAGTTTAATTAATCGTACATTTTTCATACTTAACCAGTTGCCTTCAACGGGATCGTTCACTGACTTTCGAACATAGTTTGCGATTTTTCGGAACTAAAACCTAATAGATTTTGAAGTTATTTGTTTTATTATTTTGGCTTAAGGTCATTGTTTACCAGAACGCTCCAATGTGTTATTCTAACAATTCTCAAAACTCAGGCTAAGCTATTTCTTCAGCTGATAGACGCTTTACAGTGATATCAAAAATCATCTTATCGTTTATCACAAGCAGATATTATTCTTTATTTATTAGTTAAGCGCATGAAAAATGTCAAAAATTTTTAACAGCCAGTTCCTTTTGGGAAGCACCGATATTGTACTTCAGGTTACAGTCGACATTTACACTTGATATTGAAACAATCGAATTGCTGAGTTTCTAGAATTAAGAACAGTTTCTATTTTTATTAATATTCCGAGTAACATTAAGCTGTGAGGATAACACATATGTAATTTGATCAAATGAAGAACATCGCTGAAGGAAGTACTTTTGAAGCTGCTGTTAAACAATGGTATTTGTTATATGAAGTAAGTTACCATAATCAATCGATTTATTTCTTTATCTAACTATGCTAACTGTCGTCAGTTTCATCCGGCTCAGGGAGCAGACGATGGTAATTGGACATTTATAAAAGATACAAATAATAGTTTTCACTGGGGACTACACATGTAGGCTATTTATACTTATGTATCTCCCCCTTGTGGCAGTTGGAGATCCCTGACAAGGAATGGCTAGATTAATCGGTGATAAAACGTTGCACTATCAGGTATACTCTCTAACCAGTTCTGCCTCTCCAAACGATAAGAAGTCATTATTTTAACTTCGTGCACGATGGGTGGCCGACGATGCCTAAGAGTGGTCATCCTTTATAATCGGTAGTTGTGGTCAATCAATCAATCATCGGATGAATCAACTTTTACCATGGTCAGCGACTGACGAATTTTCAGCGGTCAATCAGTAAAAATCCATAACATGAAAGCCATTGAATAAACGTGTTGAATGACACCATGAATGAAAACAACGAACATGCACATAAACATGAACATATGAACAAATTCTTGCTTCTGTTCTAGGGAAGAATGTAAGTTGTCGGACAGGCTTGCACGAAAGTCTGGGTCTCGAAGTATGTGAGCTGGATGCAGCACCGTAGTCTGACTGTAAACCACTGTTTTGGCATGTGTACAGTTTGTTTGAGAGTGTTTGTTCACTGTTGTCGTTGTTGCTGCTATGTCAGTGATTTCTCAAAGCCGATTCTGCCCGTAGAGGGGATAAATAACTTCATATATGTGCGCTGTTTCACCTTCACGAAGTATGTTAGCATATAAATTATTACATCATGGTCATAAACACTTTTCAATGCTGATGTCCGACGCTCAGCCTAATAAGGCTCATGCAAAGTACGGACAAGTCTGGCCATGCTGTCGGATACGAACGCCTCTTAGGAGCTCCGTTCGCCTCGATCCACCTGGTAGTTGTTTATCCAAGGTGATATTCATGACAAGGTGTTGAATCTGTTGTTGTTTTAAAGTTTAAAATAGAAACACATAATGACGGGGAGACATAAGACAAACAAAGATAAACATCTTCTTTCGTACCAAGGGATGCCGACATGAATGTACATCTGAGCATATACGTTTGCTGCAAACTTTCCAGACATAGACCATCCATGTGGTAGAAGAACATTGCCTTCTTGTATTGTAAATGATTAGCAGTTTAGACTTAGCATTGAATTTTAGTTTTCTGTAGCACATTTGCCAGACAACAAGAAAATAAACAAGGACGCTCAATCATAGTCGTGGTAATCGAAAGAATACTGAAAGAAGATTTGTTTCAGCCGTCCCTGAGTCTCCAAATAGGGGGTTATTCCTGCTTTTGTAATGTAATCAATCAATCTTCATCCATGCTGGTTGTCGACCACAAGTTTTCGTTTCTCCAGAGATGGCGCGATGGAACAGATAGGTAATTCTTCCTTCGGGATCTAATACATGTATTGGCACCCACTCCTTCTCTCGTCATGATGCTCGTCTGCTAGAAGGAGCTGGTTTAAAAGCACTCGAGTTTCCGTTTGCGAGAGCCTCATTAACCGATGTTCATTTCAGTATTCTTGTTAGGCTTTCATGGCTGTTTTAGTGGCTCAGAAGCACACAGACTGCCAAGTCGCGCGGTTTCGGCCTTGGTTGCTTGCCGTTTTATGATTTTGTATCGGAACAGCCTGTTTTCCCCTTAATTTGCCTCATCGCATCTGAAGACATGCTGCCTTTTCTGAAGCAAACTTCCGCATATTTATTTTGGAACAGCCATTGAAATAAAATATTTTTAAATAATTTCTTACGAGGCAACCGTTATAAATCATGTTGTCAACCGTTTTTAGAAGGCCTCCAATCATTCAGTGTCAGACTTTGGTCGTCGGATGCGTCATACATAGTTTCGTAACCAGTTTCTTTCAGTAACAACGAGGTGTTGACAACTGACGCTTTGACATTACGCAAAATAGCAGTGAGTCAGCGGTCCGTTCTACTCACAGCTTAATTCTGTATTACCAGTAGGACTAGCTTTTATTCTACGGTAGTTATTATCCCCAGCATTGCGGTCATAGCGATCGGGGGTTCGTATTCACGGTTCATGGCTAAGAAAATAGTCCATTTTTAAAAATCCCAAATTTATGATATGACTTTGCACGGTGCCCCCTCTCGATCTAGCTCAAGATACTTGTTGGCTCCACTCAGCAACGGTTTGTCGGTCAAGGAGGTTAGTGCAGATGCTGCACAATGTTTTATTGAGCCGCCCTGTAAAGATTACCCTCAAATGGATTGAACTTGTAGCCCACGATAATACAGTTCTTTTGAAACAAAAAAGAGTGAATGATTGCATAGGACAACCATCGTACACAACAACAACATAAATCAAGCCTCGAATCAGAACCCTTTATGACTGCTCAGGTTTGCAGGTAGAGCTGGAACTCAGACCCTTTTCATTACTGATTACTGGACGAACGAAAGTCATTTTTGACTTCAACAGGTCCCTGATCGGTGTCTTAAAAATGACACGCTAGGGACGCCTGGCCGGCTCCGGTGTTGCTAAGTAGCCCATTTACGCTCTTACCGTACGTCCTTCGCGTGGCAGATGGATATTTTGATCGTCAGACGGACCGTGTTATTTTTGGGCGGGGGGATGAGGTTGCATAGTCTTTGAGGTTGTGTGCTAGATATTCGCGCCCAGTACCGACTACCTCTCATTGATTTTGGAGCGTGGTACCACAGTTGAAAAGAAGTCAGATTTGAACTGTAGGTACCGAGTTCGAATCCGAAGAAGGGACAGTGTTTGCCTTAACTACGAATGCCCTCGAACAAGTAATTTACCCCACGTTGCTTGAGTGCAACCAGCTGAGAAACGAGTGACCTGCGTAAAATAAGGACAGTGGGGTGTTTTGGTTTGGTAATACCAGATTGGACGAAGTGTAGATCATGCGATCCGATGCGAACGCCTTTCTGGCTACACTTCACCTCGATCCAACTGACAACTGACTATATAGCATAATAATCGGCATAAGATATAATCCGATTTCGAATTCGAACGGCGGCCCCTTTGATATGCGTCCACAGGTCCTTAATCGACAGCCGGATATAAAGCCCTGCAGAGGAGCTTATCTATCACTATTGTGCGCAAAGAATCAGAGCCCTACCGTATTGTATCAGCATTTGACGATCATATTCTTTGACCTTTGTTCGTCGCGAACATTCATATTTCTAATACAATGATAAGCACTGATAAAAAAATATTTAATGATTCAAGGGTTGAAACTGTATGGTGAACAGTGACGCGCCATATTTTCCGGTTTCCTGCGGTCTCACTGATATACATGGATGAGTCTATTTTTTTCAAAGATACTTAATTCCACTTATTTCCAATGTCGTTTGCTCAGCGTGATTTGTTGATATGTGCTTGATTAGTTACAAGACGTTAGCGTTTTCTTGAAAGGAATAAGTTGCCGGACGGACGGTATTATTTACATCAGTCAGATAGATCAAAAAATGAGTTCTTGCATCAGAATGTGCTGAAAATCGAATCCGTCCTCCAACAACAGATTTCGCGGCCGATTGAAATGTCTCACTCTTCACAGGATCCCTTTAAGCCGGTCTCGGCTCTATGCTATTTAAACAGCAGCAGTATGCTGATCCGTTTCTTATATTTTTAAGCAATGGATCATGATCCTGGTCAAAGATATTTCAGGAGCTGGCACTTGTCATGCCCTAGCACATAAACGTACGAATCTACATTTAGAAATGGCTTCCATAACTGTCTCGTATGGAAGTAGGAGAAACGAAGGAATGGACTATTTCCTTAAATACGTCCTAAGAATTATTCGCCAATATTTTCATATGTTGTATAATCATATTATAAGCATGCAGACAAACGCTACGACAAGCAGACAGAGACATAAATAAAGAGGTAGAAAAACAGATAAATAAATAGCTGGACAGATAAATTGATTGATGAATAAATTTAATGAAGGACACGCAAACATATTTTCATGGCTTTTTCAGCAATATACAACGAATACGTTTCTTCTTTCGTCAACTGCCGCGTTTCGTTGCTTTATAGCATCGTCCGCAATGTAGTTGTTGTGTTCATATGAGCTGGGTTTTGATGGAGTGGAATGCTCGCCACCCTACTGTTTTTCTGCATGAAATTTCGGTCTTCCGACGGCATTGCATTTGAAGGATGTACGTAGGCTTGATTTTGATTTTGAACTCAGAGTTACCTTTCGATACTCTGCGGTGTTTGACAGAATTTAAATGTTAATCAGCATAAATTTGTTGAAAATGTTTTTCATTCCCATTGTTCAAAACCTGTTACAGAAACCTCAAAATGCATGAACATCACGGCTAAGTCAACGTTTTGCATAATTGAAAAATATGTACTGACACAGGTTTCGTTCTGTCATTCGATGAACTGATTCTTATGCATTGTCAGCCTTTATAAAGGGAACCTCAAATCTGCATAAAGAACAACGGGTTTTCATCGTAGCTCGGAACTCTGCCATGATCCTTAGAAAAAATATTTTGTTTTAGTGTCATTGAAAATAGGGAACTACTGGCAGATGGAACGGAAACGAGATTAGCACCGCAGCAATGGGCACCACAAATCTTCCCCAATCATGAAAGTGCACGATAGACCAACAACTGCCCTCCCGCAATGCGTGCTGCACTGCAGAGACTCAAATACCGTAATCGCTGGCAATATATATATACCTAACATATGCAAGGCATCATATGCATACTGTACGACGTAAATGCACATCCACCACTGTATGCGCGCATACAATTGCTATAGAGTACTGAGAGAACAGTAACCAAATCTGCATTCATACTGCTCAGAAATTAGACAGTAAGTACTGGACCGCTTAACATATAAGAATTGTCACAGCTTTACTACAGTCGGACCAATCGGCTATTTGTCGATTGCTGGTCTTGTTGCTCATTTCTGTTCGTTCTCATTCTCGACAGAGTAGCGCTGGAATGTTGGGTGCGGCAAAGTGCGCAGAGGGCTTCGCGACGCACATGCATTTCAGGTCGGTGGCGTAGACCAACTTAAGTCTGTTGACAGAATTATGACAGGTACAAGGGCATCACATTGTGCATTCATCACAGCGTTTTTCTTATTACTGATGTCTACCTATTCATTGAATAAGCAGCATATTTGTAGAGGGGCAAAAGCTGCGAAAGATCAAAATGTTCATAGGGTTTACTTCGAAATAACATCAGGAAAATGCTGTTGATTATTTAATATGCTACTAAAGGATGTAGAATCAATTTATGAGTAATCGCTGTCTAACACTGAACATAATATTGCTGAGATACGGTTGAGGTAGTAAACAGTCCTACCGCAGCTGATCGTGTACATTGAACTGTACACTGAGGTCATATAGACAGATCCACTCCACTCCGGGTGAGGTGAGTGCTTACTTGAGAAACTGGTGCAGAAAAACAGCTGTTTTATGATTGGTTTAATTTGGATGTTTTTATGAACACACATTGTATTACAGAAGACCAGATCCACATGGGCTTCGCGTTGCATCACGTGAAATTCCTGCTGGCACCGAACATAGTAATCACCGAGAAGAACAGCTGGATATACCGAAGCTGGTTTCAGCACATGCAGAAGCCGAAAGAAAAAACCGTAGATCTCAGTTTGGAAGACATCAGGATACTCGAAAACTACTTTCTTTATCGAGCGATGAAGAAATTTGCAGAGGACGTACCGAACAACACGAACCAACTTCCGTACGAAGACAGAAAATACCTCACCTTGGGCAGTTCAGATTCGTAACGGACTCTTCGCTGCCAGCCTCACGGTCGGCAGCATGAAATTGTGACTTTGGCGACGTCGTTGTGTACGTTACTACTGCAGTGATTCGAAATAAAAAATTCTTTGATCAAATGACGTGGATGAGAACTTGTAAATGGTTTCCAACTGAGTTTGATTCGAACCATAAAAGTTTTTGTAAGGTTCTCAGTACCTCTCTCTAGCCGGATGTTGCCTTCCTTGGATTTAATTAGTAACATTACTGGAAACTGCCGGATTCAAACACACTTTTCATTTTTTCAGTTTTTAAGGACGCGCTTTCGTAATGATCTCACTAGTTTTTGAAACGGTTATAGACTGCTGAGACCGATTGTCCAGCTAATCACAATGATTGCTTCACGGCTCTAACAACAACAGCCATGAGATGTTCACCTCAATACTGCGTAAGCAACATGATGGTAAAATTGCATTTTTCCTTTGATCTTTGAAGCGACAATTGTTTCATGGAGCATAGGAACAAGCAGTTTATGTCACAGCTTGCCAGTCGTCAGTAATTACCCCTCCCCCGCAAACACAATTGTCGTCACTTTATGCATGACTGCTTATTCGTCAGCTTTCCTGCCTTACATACCTAACCCACATGTCCGAGGAATATTTCGGTATTCGTATATTTGAACACTTTGAAAAATAATAAAATGAACATTCTTGAATATACTTAGACTCCGTAGCCCTCGAAACGACATATGAAACGCATCTGACACCAAAGACAGCATGTGTCAAAATACAGTACTTTAATGTAGGCTAAAATTTAACTTAATGAGCAGCTAGTATTAAATTTTGGCCGCGATATTCGCTTGTCGGGTAGTGACAAATATTACAACGTATATCGATAACAGCTACCGATATTTTGCACTAATCGTCTAGTCACAAAGCACAAAACGAAGTTTCAAAAATCAACTGACCAAACAAGTTTTAACTTAATCATCATTAACAGTCAACATAGATCAGGCACACTAGTATATCTTCTTCTGGGACATCGCTCCTCGTTGGCACTGGTTCATGGTTGCGATCACGGCGACGAAAACGAC